TTTCTAGAAAAAAGTGTAATATTATAGCCATTATCATTAAGCATATACATAGAGATCAAATTGAAGCCGACACCTCAAGCGTGTTTAACTCCTCCAAGCAACAATTGTACTCCCATATTAATATGGGAACAAATATCATCGATACCGACTACTTTCAACAAATCATCATTTTCATATTCAACACTTTAAAATCACCATAAGTATAAGATGTGATGAACTTCTTCCTTAATATAACATAGTATAGCATCACTATAATAATCCACATGCTTTCTTCATCTCATATATGATTAATCGAATCACGATCACGAAGAATAATAATAACACTTCGTATTCATGTATCTGGACTTGAATTTATTTATGTTGTATCTAGACTTGGACACTACACATTCTTCAATAAATTATAATCTAAACCATTAACTTCAAAACAAATTTCCACCCACCTCAACCACCATGACTTTGTTATCTCTAGTTGTAGAATTACTTCATAGTTCAAAAAAAAAACTATGAATGTTCATTTGTTTTGTCCCCTTAAAAAACACGTGGGTGAAAATTGAAACAGTTAACCAAATTCCCATGTGCAACCCAAGGGTAGATTTGTAATTTAAAGAATATAATATCACCAACTATATTTCTATATTTATTGTTACTAATGTTATGTTCTTATGCAAAATTAATATCATAAATAAATACCTATAAAACAATATTTAATTTTTTCCCATTCAAGAGTTTTCTTCTTTTCTTATTTTTGTTGATTTTTTTGGTTAATCATTGTCTATGATACATCAATGCTACAAAATATGTCACATGTTAGTATTAGTATGTCATCATTAGAGGCTAAAACAAAAAAATTGAAATATATAAGGACCAAAATCTAAAAAGATAAATTATAGGAGTTGAAATAAAAATTTGGTCTATTTATAGTAACAAAAATGTAGGTGGATTTATATTTAACATAAATGTGGATAACCTCATAGCTAAATTAGCTATGTAGAGTACCCACAATGGTAATGAAAAACAGTTTGTAGCGAAACAATCATCATTATTTAAGAAGAGTCGTTCTTGTTCTTATTTCCCAACGGTAAGCTAAATAAGCAACGTTCTTAAAATTGTGAGTCGGGCTTAAAAAATGGAAAAAGTTGTTACAGGAGAGAGAACGGAAATAGAGTTGCACCATTGGATGTGAAATATAAATGTGAGTAGGTTTGTGGGGTCCATTTAAGAATGGAAATAGAATTGCATCATTGAATGTGATTTTGGCTTGAGTTGCTTAAGTTGTTGAAAAGTGTAAACAAATATAAAATGACCAATAAGATCCATTTAAGAACGAAAAAGATGTTGCACCACTGTGCATGTGCATGTTATAATATGAGTTTAACAATATCCCTCTTTAATAAGAATATTAAGGGATCATATCTTAGTTATAACTACATGTCTTAATCCTTCCAAATTATATTTCTTCTCATACAACTTAACTTGCAAGTAAATGTACCTATTAAATACAAAGATAAGTCACTTAAATATGCATATAGTCATATAGTCACACACACACATATATATATTATACTTAGTGTATAGCTCTAAATTGAGCATCAGAACAAATTGCACAAGAAAGAAACCAAACAACATGATAGCTACTTGTCTACCAAATTATTGGAAAGATTCCTAACTTTTATTGTAAATGCAAGAAAACACATTTCATTATTAGAAAACAAGGAAAGGAAAACAAAAAAATGACAGCACAGTACACGAGACTCCCACATAGTGGGGTATCGAGAAGATAGATAAACACAGCCTTACTCTCGTAAGCGAAGCGAAGAGATTATTTCCAGGATTCGAACTCGTGACTTCCAGGTCAAAAGTTGTCGATGCCTCCCGAAACTACAATTATATTTCACTAGTTTGTAAACAATGGCTCTTGCAGGTGCTGCAAATTGAAACCCAACCTTTAATTTCACCAATCACCCCACAGTAAACAAAATAAGAAGAAATAGTAATCTTCTTGTTCAACCACTAAGAATTTTCTTCCCTTGGTACATTCTGAGATAGGTAACATTGTTATAATCTTTGAACACTGAAAACAAAGGATTAGAAGAAGAAATATATCATTGGTGTTCTGCAAAATTATACAAGTATTGCAGATATACATAGTTAACCCTACCTTTCTTCATATGCAACAAAATGATACTTCAAATCTTGCTAAATCAAATGCAATAATCATATGGCATGTTATGATGTAGCATGAAAGTGTATAACAAAGTAACTTTGTCTATAAATCTAATCTAGCAATGGAATGAAATATCCTATCCAAACCCACCATAAATGATACATTAGGCAAGATTAATAATGACATAGCTCTATTTGCTCTTACTTGCTTACTTTATCGACCTTTTTCTCGAAATAGCTCCCGGATTAAGAGGGCAAGAACAGCGTGCTGAATGTCTGTAGAAAGAAGAAGGTACCTCAATATTTTAACCAAAAAGATCTTCAAAACTGACATACATGGAAAATTTACCATACATATACTTATATATAGAAAATGGTCAAAGTGATTTTCAGAAATATTGTAAGACAGTGAATGTTTAGATGCAAAATCTAACTAGCAAATATTCAAGATCTAACTAGTCAAGAATGACATGCTGAATACCTTACAAAGTAGAAGAACTATGAAAAGCTCTACAAAACTTAACATAAATGGAATATTTAGCATACATATGCATAAATAAACATAGGTCAGTGAATCATTCTAAGCTAGATCACATATTAACCTAATATATCCCAAAATAAACTTTATTGCGCTCTCCTTCCCCGGAGTAAATTGTTCCATATTAACCCAATATATCTGAATGCACGTGGCTCTTATCTAGAGGGGTATATGGAAAGTCGATGTACACAATCTTATCCTTGCAAGCGAAGAGAATGTTTTCAGGATTTGAACTCATGACCTCCGGGTCAGAAAGCAAGCAACCTTACCGTAAACAATGCATTTTATGGGCGACTGATTTGTGCTACATGGGTGACAAGTCCATAAACAGTGCATAAAATACATACAATGCATTTTATGAAGCATTAACCTAATAATAAAAGCAAGTATCTTCAGCAACAAAGGAAGTCTTTCTATTAATCAACTGAAAAAAACATACATATTTGCATGCTGGTTGTTCAACAACATAAAAGTAGTAGACTTAAGCTTATAATTATTGATACACAAGTACAATCATAGCCGAAAGATTACATATGAAGACGTGAAAATAAAATACATGTCTTATTGATTCATTCAGTCCAAATTTGGAAATCAAACTATTGTATGATTTTTACTAAATTTTCTCAACAATTATACACTGCCACCAATCAGCATATGCACTATCAGTCATAAATGCTACATTTCTAAAGCTACAACAATTACATTCCGAGGAAAATAATAAAGAGAAGAATATGATGTTTCTTATTCTCTTTGACACGGCAAATAGGTGCTCTGGCATTAATCTTCCCAGCAACAACAAAACTTCTCCGGTGTCGGAAACAAGGTTCCTCCTCCTCATAAACTATCTTGAGTTTGAGATTGTATGAAACACGGTGATCATGCAACGAACATAGAAATGCAAAGGAACAACCACAAGAATCACAATGAACAAGAATTCAGAGATCCTACCACATGGTCAAAAGAGACCATCACTCAACAGCTTTCTTCCCCCCGGAATAGTAATTCAGATACCACCGAACGAATTTTTTCAAACCAGTTTGTAGATCTGTTGTAGGTTTATATCCAAGCTCTCTCTTCGCGTAGCTAATGTTTGCATGAGTAAACTGCACATCCCCATTCCGCGGCAACTTCATTATATTCCTCTTTGCCTTAACCTTCAAAAGCCTCTCCAAAATGCTCACAAGCTCAGTAACAGGCACGGGTGAAGTATTCCCTAAATTGAAAACCCTCAACTGTGCTGGACCCTTCTTCTTCCCACCACTACCAGTACTCTTCTCCGCAGTATCCAACGCACCCAAACACCCCCTCACAATATCATCAATGTAAGTAAAATCCCTCGCAACCGTACCATGATTCGCCGCCTCAAAAACCGGGATCGGCTTCCCCTTCAAAATATCCTTAGTGAAAAAGAAGTATGCCATATCAGGCCTACCCCAAGGTCCATAAACAGTAAAGAACCGCAACCCTGTCAGCGAAAGACCATATATATGATTATATGTATGAGCAATCTCTTCACCAGCTTTCTTTGTAGCAGCATACAAACTAGCCGGTTGATCAGTCCGATCCCTCTCCGAAAACGGCACCTTAGTATTAAGCCCATAAACAGAACTACTAGAAGCCCAAACAATTGCAGGTTGTGGATTCACACTCTTACAAACTTCAAGCAAATTAACAAAACCAGCAATGTTACTATGCACATAAGAGCCAGGATTTTGCATAGCATACCTCACACCAGCTTGAGCAGCCAAATGCATAACATGAGTGAATGGAACAACTTCAAACAATTTCCTCAAAAGTGCTTCATCATTGATATCACCTTCCACAATGTAAACCCCAGTGCGCTCCAATAAAGCTTGGCGCGCACGTTTCAATGAAATTTCATAATAGTCATTGAAGTTATCAACTCCTAGGACCCCGTCTCCTCGGCGTTTAAGCGCCGAGGACACGTGGGTCCCAACAAAACCAGCTGCCCCGGTCACGAGAACGGTCATCCCGTTTCGTGACCGGACGCGAGCAGAGGAGCGGACCCGCTTCTCCCAAGCGGATCCGCCCCAATTGTAAGTACGCAACGAGCGGCGAGAGGGGTCGATGGGAACCGATGAGGTTGGAGATCGGAGGAAAAAGATCAAGATCACGACCAAGAAAGCGAAGGACCAAAGGGTTAACTTGGCGAGGGAATAGTGCCACCGTGTGCGGTTGAAGTAAGGGGATTTCTCCATCTTGAACTTCCCTGGGGTTGAAGGGGCGCTATTATCGTTATGAGAGATTTGTTTCAGCTGAGACATTTTCTCTGAGAAATTTTTGATTTTGAAGGGTACCCACGATTCTTCTTCCTCGTTTGAGTCGATTAATGGAAGCAATTTTGGATTTTGGCAATGGTTCTTGAGTTACCCCTGATTTGGATGTGAGATTTGAAATTAGGGTTTCTCAGGAATTTTGGATTGTTTTAGAAATGGTGTGTTGTGCTGTTATAAGGTGATGGAAATGGATGAAGGAGAAGGAACAAAATAAAAAAAAAAATATTGGGTTTTTATTTATTTATTTATTTGAGTGAGTTGGTTTTGGCTTTTCTTTTCTTTAGAAAAAATCACTTTTTTTTTCTCTCTCTTTTGTGCTGTGTTTTGGAATCTTGTTTTTTTCTTGGAGGAATGGGTTGAAGATGGTGACAACTCTTTTGGGTTTTATTCCTTAGAGACACAAGAAAAAAATTTCAAGAATTGATTTGAATTTTTAAAAAAAATGGTTGAAAGATATATATGGAGAGAGAAAGGATGAAACTTTATAAGCAATGTGAATGAAGGAGAGTATAGGAATTGAAGGGTTAATTTTTAATGTTCTAGGACTTAGATTTTGTCTCTTTATTCTTATGTTCCTCCTCCTTTTGCAATGCTTATTGAAGAAATCAAATCCTAGTGGGTTGTGGTAAAACAAACCCATTTCCCTTTGTATATCTAAAAGATGGTATTTGCTAATTTCATTGGTTGGATTGCCTTAAATTTAGGACCTTAAGTAAATTATATGCACTTTTTATTTAAGGATTACTTTGGGTGGTGGAAAGTTGTTTTTTTTTAGTTATGGGGAAGAGAGTTCAAATGTGTAATTGGTTGATGGTATTGTTTAATGTTATAATAATGCAATGGTTGAGATTTGATAGATTTTTCTATAATGGGACTAATGTTTTTTTCACCATGGGAAAGTGTGTTAGATCCATGAGAGTTTGTTACACATATCATACATAAATTCAGTAAATTTAAATAAGAGTAATGTTATATCATCATATTAAATACTTTGACTAATTTTATTACCTATAAAAAAATAATATATATCACAAAGTGATACGTCATTTATTAGTAACTGATTTACAAGTAACATATATCAATTTCTATAACTATGATGCTTTAGTAGGATAATGTATCATTTTTTTTTAGGGTGAAAAGAAATATTTAATACTACCCTTTCTCTTTACTATATTTTATGACTCATTTGAGTTGTTACATAAATTAAGGAAGGAAGTTAATAGTGTTATTTTATTTGATAGATCATTTATATTTAATTATGTATAACTTATTTTCTATTTCTAATATATTCTAAAATTAACAAATTTAATTAATATGGTTAAGTTTCCAAGAGTCAAATTAAAAGTATTAAAATCAATAAATGTTGAAGAAAAAAGGTATGTAGAGAGTAATGTGGTTTTTAGAGGTAATAATAGGAATTAGGAAAGTAATTGTTGAAATACAGATAATAATTATTTCTGAAAGTCAAATCATCAATAACTTCATTTTACTAATTTGGGCTGAAAGTCAATAAATAGTCATTGAAGCTTTTTATTATGAAAGATTATCTAAATTTATGACAAATTAATATAGAGCCACTACTTTTTATTGAGATGTGATTTAATTGATAACTTTTAAAAAAATATAACATTTAGTGTTTCAGCTTATATTTGGTAGATTTTTATCTCTTTTTTATAAGCTTTCTTTTTTTCCAAATAAGAATGAATTGTTTTTATATTATAACAATCATAGATAAATGTATAATATGATTTTTCCAGCTCTACCAAACACAAGTAGATAAAGCTTTATTATTGAATTTATAACCCAAATAACTTTGATAGAAAAATCAATTTAAGTCATTCAATTTTGGTCCCTATTTTAATTATATGAAACTTGAATATCAAACAATTTAATTATGTAATATTTTTACAATAAATTTTGAACAAAAGAAGTATCGTACAAATGTGAGAACAAAAGATAGATTTTTTTCGGTCTCGATTATTGTTACTTATTAGAAACTTAAGTCTAATATATTTTTATGGGGTCATATTTTATGAACGTTGAAATGTCTCATACTTTTCTTACCTCATGAAACACCCTTATTTCGATTATAAATCTATTCTATAATAATATAAAACAATAATCATTAGATCGGGCAAAATATTGAATAAATTTAGCCTAGAGTATTAATAATTCATGACAACCTAACAAAATCTAAAAACAATAAAAAATATAACATAATAATTATATAAAAATAAAAATAGTTATACTAATTATGGGTTTGTTGCACATTTGCCCCATACTCTTATGGAAAAAACTTCTCTAAAGTACTAGAGAGATAAGTTATGATATTTACATGTGGCTTCAAGGATAACATTGACATATTATTATATTTAAGAAGATAATAAAGTCATTTCAATTATAATTTTCTATTGTTTTTTTGATGTACTGTCATCTCCATTGCTGGAGAGGATTTACACCCTACCCTTTTACGGTGGCCCTGAATACATAGAATAAAACTAACATGACTAGATTGAAATTCATTTATTAGTGACTAATATAGAAAGGTTTTGCATGAGAGTATATGTTAAGGGTATCTAAAATAGTTAGTGTTTATTGGAAAAATCAAAATAATAAGTTCAAAAGTTAAAAACAAAAAACTTATCCATGTAAACCTTTTTTAAGTATCCTTAAAATATACCCTATATACATTTAGAAAAAACTTATACTGTATTCATTTGAATCAAATCCAACATAATTTTGGAGGAACATCATTTCCTCTTATTTCTTTTAGTACTATCAAAGGTATTCTCTCACAATTTTTTGGGTATTAAATTAATGTCTTTCGGCGTGCGTGGTTACCCCTCCCAATAAGTATCGGTTACAGGAATTGAACTATTGACATTTTGGTCATTATGGGATCTAGCAGAGCCTTATACTACTAAACCAACACGTTGTTGGTGACACTAGATAATTTATTTGCTCATAAATACGTTACTTTTAATCCAAGAAAACAATATCCTTAAGTGTATTTTTTTTTTGCTTGATAAGGGTCAAAACTCAAAATATTTGATACTTTAGTATAAACCTTACGTAAGAGAATTTAGTTTTTTCATTTTCATCGAATTAAAGTGCATTAATGGATCATTTAAAAGGCTAGTCTAATTTACCTTTACAAACAAAATGTCCTTTCTTTATAGATGTTGAATTTCAACCTCAACCATTTCTATCAACGCATCAAAAGTCAAAGCATAATTTATTACATAACCCTTTTTTAAATGTGCCCCATTCTTACCATAATTTTTTATAACACACCCAATAGTTCAAGAAATTATTATATGGTTGAAGATTATTAGTCTAAATCTCTTTTAAATCAATGATATTTAATGTATTATTCAATTAAATATATTTGAGTATATTTAAAATCAACAATTTTGATGTGTCCGAAATGATTGATAGTGGATGATAAAATAATTTCTCATGTGAGATCACGAAAGAAGATCACCTGTTCCATTTTTTGTTACAAGTGTGTCACGATCCGATTAAACATTGCCGCCTAATTGAAAAGAAATTTTAAAAAAATAGAAAATATTTTTTTACATTACTTGGCGCAACGTGATTAATTTGGGACATAGAGACAGAGATTTTTTGGGACGGGTAATCCTTGTTTGTGAGATTACATGCCATTAATTAAGTGTTGTCTTTGTCATCCATTTTTTCCTTTTGTGAGTTGTTCCCTAATGATCATTGATGCATATGATATAATTCAATTAACACTTTTTACAATATAAAAGCTAAACCTTCATTTAAAGCATTAAATAATATTGTTATATGGTTAGAAAAATGATTATGTATATAATAACTCTCACATAACACAATAATAAAAAGTGAGCTTGTTGAAGAGAGAAAGAAAAAGGAGAAGGAAAAAGTTGGCCATAATGAGAGTTTAACTTTAAAGTCAAATACATAACTATGCAATATAGTTTCCATTAAATTAACATACATTCAAATTAAACATCACATCCATGAATTAAAGCTTAAAAATTAATTAATTAATTACTTTTTTTTAAGTTTATGATCTTGATCTATAAAAGAGTTGGGTATTAAGAGATTTTAATACAATTATTTTCTCATAAATTTAAGAGTAAATTATACTCACACCCATGAGTTTTAATGAAATTACACAAATCACCCCCCTTGTTTTGTTCTTACACCAACCACCCCTCTCTCCTACACAAATCACCCATAGATTTATACATACATTACACTGACTACCCCTTCATGTTATAAAAGTGTAATATTTTAAAGAAAAAACGTGTGATGAATGTAATCAAGTTAAACAAAATATTGTATATTGTGTAACACTTCAAATAGTACAAAAATGAGTGTTTCTTTATTATTTTTGTGTCATTAAAAAATACATTAATAATTTAAAGTAAATGTTTAAATAACTCTTATACTATTTTATAACGAGCCACATAATGAAGACGCATTGACTTTTATATTATTTGAATTTGTCTACACAATATACAATATTTTGTTTAATTAATTACACACATCATACATTTTTTGTTTAAAATATTACACATTTACATCATGCAGGAGTATTTAGTGTAACATATGTATAAAATTAGGGATGATTCGTGTAATGACAAAAAAATGAGGAGTGATTTGTATAATTTCACTAAAACTTAGGGAGTGTGAGTGTAATTGACTCTGAAGTATGTGAGGAGAGAAAGGAAAAGAATGCATTGAATGAATAACTTAGAGTGCAAATAAGGTTGAAAATGAAGGCAAAAGCATTTTCCCAAGAATCCTTATAGTGCAATTCATGTTTGTGTAGCAAAGTATCATATGCACTATGACACGTTTGGATTAGTATAGAATAATCACAAGCTGAAAAGATTGCTTCATTCTTAGGGAAAAAAGTATACATTTCAATTTCACTCATTCTACTAATATTTCCTTCTTTGTGTAATTAGTAGTCAAACACTAAAGACTTTATTCAAAACCACCTCTTCCCTTTCATTATTGGGTAATCAATTGCAAGATGCTTCATCTAAGAGTGGAAGATAGGATTGGGATAGGGATAGGGATAAGGATAAGGATATGTGGTCCTAAGATTATAAGAATAGAAAAAAATTATTATGTGGTCTCTATGGATGAAATTCAGTAATAAATTATTAATATTTTGGATGTATTTAGAATCAACAGTTTTCATTGGACTTGTTCATCCATGTCCTTGCATTTGTACAAATTTAGAATGACAAAGATTGATCATATGTAAATACGAGTTAATCCAATCAATTTATTATATAAGCAAAAATTGTTATAAACGATAAGATAATAATAACTCAAATAATAACTAATAAGATAAAAATAAATTATAAATAAATTCAAATAAAATAAAACTAACTAAATCCTAATAAGATATGTTCTATAAATTAAAAAAATATCATCTAATGCCATCCAAGTTCAAAGATTGTAACAAATAATTTATTTTAAAAAAATAACTAAGTAATTATATGGTTCCACAATAAAATCGTCGAAAGGTGTTGTGATATACAAAATCTGTAGATATAATCAACATCATAATGATCATCTATGTGAAAAGAAAAT